AAGTGTCAATTCTCCCTCTGAAGATAGAAAATGTTTTTGATATAGCTGTTTATCAATGAAAAGTGTAGTTGCTGATGAAATTTGGAAAAATGAAGCATTTTTTATCTTAAGAAGAGCTGGGTAGAGATGGCATCTTTCCCACAGAGAAAATCTAGCTAGCCCCAAGTTCCACTAATTTTCAAAGCTTTCAGACAGGAAACTTCAAATTCACTGTTGCTCAGTATTTACTAAAATCTCAGTTAGTTTAAATAAATAAGTTAAACAAAAAAAATAAACACATAAGATTAAACTGATAAATTCATTCTTTTTTTCTGGTTATGTAAAATATTGGATTAAACCCATCTATGCCTGCTCTCAAAATCATATACCATTTCCTTGGAGTTCCATCATTAGCAAATACTGAGGAATCTGAAAATTTTCATAAATCATAAAATAGAATCCTATTAAATGTACTGCTGCATTTATAAGAGCAAAGGCATTTGCTTCCTTCTTGAATTGGTTTCTAGAGTAACTTAGATCCAAACACAAGATAAACCTCTGGCACAAGTGAAGTTAAAAAAATACTATTATATATGTATACTCTGCCATTATTATAGGATCTAAAAGGATACATTCTGTGCAATAATGTTACTCAGACTTATCAATTTTCATATTCTCATTTTACCATTGCTTTGATTTTTCTTTTACTAATCTTGTTAAAATTATGCATCTTTTTATTTTGTATATATTTTTAAACATTATAATAATTCTGTTTTCTTATATGTATCCTGACCTAGGTTTATTTTGGAATAAATATTTCTTAATATGTCTAGGTCAGAATTCACATAAGAAAACAAGTATACAGTAATGAAAGAATCAAAGGGAAGGAAGCATGGAAATTTGATTAAAGATGATGGGTCCTCTCACATTTCAGATAGCAAAGTAAGCCAGTTAGTTATTCTAGGGACAAGACAACTGATCATTTGTATACTAGCTGGAAGCCTAGACAAAGCCTACCAAAGCTCTGTCACTGACAAACAGCTGAGTGCTAACTCACCATAGGCATAAAGAAAGGGTCTCCTTTCCAGGTCCGTGTATTCTTAATGTGATAAAGAATTGTTCTGGTATTAAATGGAAAACAAATCCCTGCTCTGGATTTCAGTGCTTACTTTATTGCATCATTTTGTTCATTACAAAAACCAAAAAACCTCACATGTTTTATTATCCAAATATAACACTACAGCAATTTCCAAATCCAATTAAATATTTTACTGTAGTAAAACAAACAAACATTCATATTGGAAGACTGAATGGGCCTCTGTTTAATACAATAACCATGTTATAACAGGCATTTATTGTTGGTAGTTATATTTTATGGGATATAATTTGACATCTGAATCTGCATCATTCTCCAGTAGTGAAATTTTATCCAGCACATGAAAGAATGCAAGACAGATGAATAATCCTAAACCACCACGGTGTTAGGCAGTGTACATAAAGATTTTTAAAAACAAAGTCCATAGACTTGTGTTCAAATCCAGGCTTTAGACTTCTGGCCAAGATGGAGTTGTAGGTAGATAGGCTTTGTTTCCTCACACAGCCAAAAGAAGGACAATGGCAAATTTAGAAACAAAAAATAACCAGAACTGTCAGAAAATCAAACCATATGGAAGTCCAACAGCCAACTAATTAAAGAAAGAAACATGCATCCAGACCAGTAGGAGCGGGGGAGATAGGCAGCTGGGGTGAAGAGGGAGGGCGGCAAGGCAATGCCTAGAAGAACTGCGTGGGCTAAATGGCAGCTGGTGGAGGAGGCGGCCCCACATTCGCCTGTGGATAAGCCAGAAGGAAAAACTGGGGAGCAATACAAATTGCGCAACTCAGGGTTCCAGTGCAGGGAAATAAGCCTCAAAACCTCTGGATGTAAAACCCTGTGGGGATTGTGGCAGCAGAAGAAACTACCAGCCTCACAGGAGAGTTCATTGGAGAGACTCACAGGGTCCTAGAATGTACACAAGATCACCCACCTGGGAATCAGCACAGAAAGTGCACAATTTAATTGCGGGTAATGGGAAGTGACTGAAAGAGGGATGAGAGCAGAACAACACTGAACAGCACTGTTCCCACCTGCACCTCTGCCCCACATACAGTGCCACAATGCAGCAAAGCAGGTTGCCCCACCCTGGCAAACACCTGAGCCTCTACCCCTTACCATATAATAGGTGTGCCAAGACAAAGAACTATGGCCCAGATGAATGAATAGGTCAAATTCCAAAAACAGAACTAAGTGATGAAGAGATAGCTATGCTATCAGACGCAGAGTTCAAAGCACTGGTAATCAGGATGCTCACAGAAATAACTAAGTATGGCCACAAAACAAAAGAAGATGTGAAACCTATGCAAAGTGAAATTAAAAAAATACACAGGGGAACCAACAGTGAAGGGAAGGGGACGGGGACTCAAAGATTTGGAACAAAAGGAAGAAATAAACATTCAACTGGAACGGAATGAAGAAACAAGAATTTTAAAAAATGAGGAAAGTCTTAGGAACCTTTGGGACAACTTTAAAGGTTCCAACATCCTAATCATAGGGGTGTTAGAAGGAGAAGAGAAAGAGTGAGAAATTGAAAATTTATTTGAAAAAATAATGAATGAAAACTTCCCTAATCTGGCAAAGGAAATAGACTTCTAGGAAGTCCAGAAAGCTCAGAGAGTCCCAAAGAAGTTGGACCCAAGGAAGCATGCACCAAGGTACGTCATAATTATATTACCCAAGATTAAAGACAAGGAGAGAATCTTAAAAGCAGCAAGAGAAAATGACACAGTTACGTACAAAGGAGTGCCCATAAGCCTATAAGATGATTTCTTAAAAGAAACCTTGCAGGCAAGAAGGGGCTAGAAAGAAGTATTTGAAGTCATGCAAGGCAAGGACCTACATCCAAGATAACTGTATCCAGCAAAGCTATCATTTAGAATGGAAGGGCAGATAAAGTGTTTCCAGATAAGGTCAAGTTAAAGAAGTTCATCATCACCAAGCCTTTATTGTATGAATTATTAAAGGGACTTACCTAAGAAAAAGAAGATCAAAACTAGAAATAGTAAAATGACAACAAACTTACAACTACCAACAACTGAACTTAAAAAAACAAAAACAGACTAAGCGAACAACTACAACAGGAACAGAATTACAGAAATGGAGATCCCATGGAGGGATATCTGGGAAGAGGACAGTGGGGGAGAATGGAGGAAAAGGTACAGGGCTTAAGAAACATAATTTGTAGGTACAAAATAGACAGGGGAGATTAAGAATAGTATATGAAATGGAGAAGCCAAAGGACTTGTATGTATAACCCATGGACATGAATTAAGTGGGGGGGATGCTGGTGGAAGGGGATGTAGGGCAGAGGGGGATAAAGGGGAGAAAAAATGGGACAACTGTAATAACATAATCAATAAAATATACTTAAAGAATAAAAAATAAAATGCTGTCTTTACCCTAGGGGGGAAAAACCCCAGGCTTTACCACTTTGCTAGCATGTGGCTTTATATTAATTAATTAAACCCTGACATCAGCTCCCTAATCTATATGATATGAGCCAATATAATGGCTGTTTTCAAGTATGCTATTAGGTCTGAAGAGTGCTAAAATAATATTAAGAGATCTTACTGCTATAAATTATTTATTTTGATTGGTTTGTGTTATCTTTTTAAGTAGGCAGTATTTATTGTGGAAGAAATATCTTAAATTTATTGGAGTGACATTGGTTAACAAAACTATATAGGTTTCAAGTTTACAATTCTATAATATATCATTTGTATATTGCATTGTGTTTACCACTCAAAGTCAAATCTTCTTCAGTCACCATATATTTTATTACCCTCTTTTTACCCCGTTCTCTTTTACCCTTTGTTACCCTCCCATACCCCTTCCTTCTGCTAACCACCATACTGTTGTCTGTGTCTGTGAGTTTTTGTTTATTTTTTTTCGTATTTGTTCATTTGTTGCTCTCAGTTTCATTTTGTAATATCATCCTATGGCACATGCATGCCTCCACTATTTCCTTCTGTTGGCTATTAGTTAAATTACTTAATCTTTCTCTTTGTCTTTAAAGTGGAGATAAACCCTACTTCTTTTGGCTGTGGTGAGGATTAAATAAAATCAAATGTGTAAGGCATCTCACAGTAAATGCCAGCTAAATAGCAAATCCTTTTTTTTTTTCTCCTTTTCCTACTGGTTGATTATAATGATTGAGCTGCTCAACTGTTGACTTAGTTTCTTCCTTCATTTCAGTACAAAGCAGAAACATCTATCTCATTAGTCAATATTCACATTATTACACAGTATTGTAGCCGCTTAAAATAACCTAAAAAACCACAAACAAGGTGTTTGAAGATCATCAGTATTTACATTCCTTTTCTTGTGAGACAATTAATTAAAAGCAATTGTCAGAGCTTTTTATCAGAAAATCACATTTAGGTCAATTCTCTGGCTTGTTTTTTAACTGACTGTAAAACAACAACACTTTGATTTGAAAACCCCAAATGCTATACTTTAAATGAAAATTTTAAAAAAACCCTAAGAATTTAAATAATTTAAAGCTTACCTGTTTCAAAATGCCTGCTGCCATTTCATGGCTACAGTCAAAGATGACATGGAACTCCTTGCCTCTTTTCATTTCTTTTAGTAAGGGTTTTGCATCCTTTGTATCAGCAGGTAGTTGACGAATTTTAAGTCGTAGGTTGTACCTTGATGGAGCTTTGATGAGCTCTTGCAAACGGATGAGGCCTTTAACAAAAAGGTAGAGAAAATACTATCAGAGAAAAATTGGAGTGGATCATGGAATCACAAAATATACTCACTACAATGCCTGCTTTTCTTAACCATGTTTATGAGGTCTGTCCAGAAGGTATCCAGCCATGTAATATGAAAAACAGAGGCATTTACTGAAGAAGATACAGGATACAAGAAACAATGTACACAGGACAATGAAACCTCAGTCCCATTTAATGTAGACACCTTGGAGCTTCTGTCGTGAGCTGCACACATAGAGAAGTTTGATTGCTCTACATTAGGAATTGACATCAAGAGATTTTAGAAGCATAATTTTTTGGTACCTGGGCAGTGAGTGATCATTGGTCCTGGCACCCATGCAAAAATCAATCAATCAACCCATCAATCAATAATGTAAGCACCTTGGGACCTCACACAGTTCTCCCGATTGCCATCATGTTCCCCATCATATTTTCCTGAATGTAAGCAATAGTTGAAATCTCTTTCCTTTCAAAGGTGATTTTAATTTTGGGAAAAGCCAAAAGTTGCAGGGTGCCAAATCTGGGCTGTAGGGAGGCTGAGTCACCTGGGTGATTTGATGTTTGTTTTGAAAAAAAAAATCTGCATGAGACATCATGCATCAGCATGCACATTGTCTGATGAAGTTGCCAATCACCAGTTGCCCAGAGCTGCGACCTTCTGAATCATCCTAAGTTTCCATGGAAAAACGTTCAAGCTTAATGCAAAATGGATGCGGATTCATTTTTCTCTACTCTCTCAGTCATTTTTAATGCTATGGCCACACAGTACACATACTCACTCAGCAGTGTCTATCGCCCCCACTGTCCAGTGAGTGAAGTCATCATTGTTCACACATGCACATTCCAGTCTGCTCTCCTTGGCTGCCAGGTTACATGGATGTCATGTAAACCGTTCTCATTATATTAATAATGGTTGAACTTTTTCTGGACAGACCTCATATGTGCATTGTAATAGTGTGACCATTAAAATTCAGAACTCTAGATTCCTAGGGTTTTTTTCCTATTTTGGGGTTTTTTTTATTATTTTTTATAGATTATTTGATTGTATTTTTATTACCATTTATCCCCCCATACCTTCTTCCACCTCCACCCAGCCCCTCTTTTTAAAATAATCACTTTTGAAATTCTATATTATATATAGATATTTTTAAATTATAAAAGATACAGATGATTACTAGTTAAGAAAAATCATTTAAATATATAAAGAAATATAGGGTTGAAGAGTTTCCCTCTACACCCCGATACTACTCTCAAGGGTTTGTACTGCTAATGGCTTGAAATATGAATCTTCCATATACTTTTTGTGCATTTTCACATTTGTACATAGAGGTTTATTTTGTTTTGTATTTTATATTAGTAGTTGTTTTGTGACAATGTCTTATAGGTAGCTGTAAGTCAATGATTATTGTTCTAGTTTGTCCGTAATTAACAGTGTTTTATAGATGACATAATTTACATAACTATTCTCTATTGTTAGTAACTCTGGTTACTTCTTTTTGAGTTTTGTTTACAAGTAATGCTATAGTAATTTGGTGCATATGCAAAAGTGAAATAATTTCCCTTAATAAATGATAAAATAGACTCTAAGTAACCTAAACAATAATAAAATTACTTTAAGGAATAAAACTAAATTTTTAATACTGTTTTCTAGGTATAATATTAGCTTTCAGAAATAAGTATAACCATAGACATTGGTAAAGCAAACATTTTCCTAGAGAAGTAGCTCCTGATTGTTTCAAAAATAAATAAAACTAATACATATATATTCAATAAGTCATAGAAATGTCATGCATTTTAAAATAGCAGAGACAAATCATTGACTGTATTCCTTTATACAGCTTCAAGTAATGAAATCCCTTTCAGAACTGATATAAAAGACCTGATACATAAAAGAGTGTGATAAGAAAAAAGGATCATAAAATTCTACTCTAGCTTGGACCAAACAAGCAATTTCCTTTTCTCTTCTGCCTACTCTTCTTCTTATCTACCTCTATTTCCATTTCATCTCTATACTTCTATTGCTCCTATTCTATCTTCCCTGAAAAACTACTTTCATAAATATTAGTATGACAAATAGTAATAAAGGAAGATATTTGTAAAAAACTAATCTGGAACTCTCTATCTCTCTTATCCATATCATGTTATATATACTTTAATATAGTATTATAACATACTATAACTATATAACATAGTTAACAATGAAATTAACAATAAAATTCAGTCTCAGATAAACATATAATTTAAAAAATATATAAATTTAAAATTATCTAGTATATTTTGCTTTTAAAATATTATCCCAATTTTGTCGCTTAAAATTCTACAAGTAATGGTGACATAAATTATAAAGTATAATATTATTGGTTTATTTTGTTTTACAAATTTAAATATTTACTAATATAGTAAAATAAATACTACATAATTAATTGATATTAAATATACCCATTAAGCAATACAATTCAGTCTAAAGAATTAATATGTACATAACAGCATAGATTATATAATGTATCTAATATACTTGTGTATAATGACAATGAGCCATACAAAGGTGAAAATAAACATCTGAACATATAGCGCCTGCTTAATTGTAGGAGAGTTTAACATTGGGCTTATAAAATCCTCCAAACCATGTATAAAAAGTGACAGATCCATAGGACACTTTAGTTTCCATGTCTATTAAATAAGAGTCTTATCTAGATCAGCAGTTCTCAGAGTGTGGTCCACAGACCCCTGCACCCTTTCAGGAGTCCTACCATTTTAATAATTATAATAATAATAATAATAATAAGTTATTTGGCTTTTTCACTTTCATTCTCTCTCACGTGGGCAGTGGAGTGTTTTGCAGGTTACAGAACATATGTGATATTACAGCAGATTGCACAGGAAAGCAGATAGGGAAATCCAGCTGACTCCCATTAAAACCAAATATTAACGAGACTGACTTATCAGAGTGTAAAACAATGCCATACATATATATATACATATATGTATATATATGAAAATGTAGGCATGTTTCATTAAAATATGGCATGAAAAACAGTCCGGTGATCACTGGGGGGAGAGGGTTATAAGGGTACTAAATAGTAATGGAAAAATACAATAAAGATCCAACATAAATAAATAAATAAATACTATTTATTTGAACAGATAATGGGGTTGCTATTGCAATTATTAAATGAACAAATATTTGAAATGTTATGATTTTTATTATTACTAATATGATAAGTATCAATACATGTAACTCATTACATGTGCTTTTAGATAACCTCAGAAAATATTAAAAATGTAAAGTGAGGGCAAAACCAAAGTGTCTAATAATTACTGAATTGGGTTATCTCTAAATTTTTCCTAGCTGTAAATTTCTATTATTCTAACAAAATTATTTATATAAAGAAAGACCCATCAATAACAACTTTGGCTAAATAAAGTAAAGAAAGCTACCCTTGCCTTACTTCTCAAGATTTTGTGCAAGTTAAATGTATATTGGGGGGACTTACCTATCATAACAGAAATAGCCTGGATGTTGGATTTAAGTTGCTCAAAAATCTATGATCTATGTGACTTTGTGCAAGGCATTATATCTCCCTTAGCTTTATTTCACTTTCCTTTTCCCTATAATAGGGTAAAACCATCTATGTATTAATATTTAAAACAGTAAAAAGGAACTGGCATGTATTAGAACTCAATAAATGGCAGGTGTCATTGTTATTTAGACTAACATAAAAAGAATATTTTTAATGTGCTTATTATTCAATCTGTTCTTGGAAGTTATTTGAAACTGATTTAGACTGAAAAGCTAACAACAGCAGAATTTTAATCAAAATTTTAGGAGATGAAGTCATTACCAAAGGAAAGGAGCTATTTAGTTACAAATTAGCCCTGCAGTTTTAAGTTGAAAAAGCTCAACTGACTTAAAAATATAAATTTATGAGGGATAAAATACATAAATAGAATTTAAGTTCACCCTAAGTATAAATGCTGCCAAGTAAGTTAATTTTGGTCTCTTAAGAGCTCATGTAGATAGTCCCTTGAGCCATAAGGTAAAATATATGTTTACTTATTCTCTTCACACATACACATCCCTGCTGGCATTATTGTAACAGATTTCAGTTTGCCAGCTTCCCTGGGGAATAATATTGGAGAGCTAAGAAAATAACTGCTGCTACTAGGAACTGCCATCTCCAACTTAAGAATTTCAGTTAAATGTTGTCTTCATTCATTCATTCAGTATAGATTGACTGCATGTCTATTATGTAGCAGACATTGTTTCATTAATGACCACAATGATTGAAATAATTATATGCATTCAGCCTTCAATTGCATTAGATACAGTTTGACTTTGGCATTTTTTTAATACAAAAGTTGTTCCTATAATGCTTTTCACATTCAGCTTTGGGAATAAAAGTGGTTCAATATTTCGATCAGAGGGGAGAAATCTAGAGTGCTATGTGAATACTGAAAGTACAATCACGGTTTCTAAATTCTGGCTTTCCATCATTTCCTGTACCAGGTGCTTAGACTTCTTTCTTGGTTTCTAACCATTTGTTGATGTGCCTGCGGTAGTGTTTCTTTTTTAAATCTATATTCCATTCTAGATTCTTTGTCTTCATCATTATATGGTGTGCAGGTACAAATACCTGTATCAATTCTGTGTAATTTAGAACACATTAGAAGAATAAGAGAGCATTGACAAAATGGGAGATGCATTCAAGACATCCAAAGAATGGATGTTTATCTACCTATATAATATGAGTTATTGGATGACATCCCTGTATGTGGATGAGGTTTTATCCTTGGGACAATGGATTTAAACAGAAGGAATATCTTTTAATTGCAACATGAGCTTTGTATTTTCCTTTGAAGATCTCTGTCAATCTTGCTGCCTCCCCCAAATCCTTCTGCAACTAACCATGTTCTAAAAATGCCTATTTCCAAAAAAAATTACCCCAATCGAATTCATCAAATAGAAATAAGTATGCATGCTTTGTAAAATGAAACAGTTTCCCCCTTTTTAGGAAAAAATAAAGTAAGCCTCTCAAAATGTTTGGAATGTTTATTTACATGTAGCCTTGTCTTGTGGTCCTGTCAAAGGTCCTTGTGGTACTTTGGTCAAAATGAAGAAATAAAAGGACCCATCTATTAGACAAAATAAAAAGGAAAAACTGTTTTGTTGAAAATATGATTAATACAAATAATTTTCAAATAACACTTTTCAAAAGAAATAATAAATTTAGCACCTGCTTATTTAACAAAAGAGTAGAATTATAACTCCTTAAAAGTCTTTTAATTAAAATGCCCCCTTTTCCCTAATGTAATTAGTTGATGTAATGATAATAATAAA